TTATATATTATGAAATATTGTATTGTGGGCAGTGACCATTATGTCGAGTGTTAATCAGGGATGAGAGTACCATAAAATTCCAATATAAAACCTATTGGTTCCTAATAGTACGAAGCATCTACCGTAGGAGTGAAGTCAGCTGACAGTAAGCACGATTATTGCCTTGATTTTGGCACAACACAAGTCAGCACCCTCACACACAGGGATGGTGCTTGAGAGGATTGGAATGGAGACGTATGGAAATACTGGTCATAGAAGGAAATGGAAGTGGGTCCTTGGTAGACTGCAGACTGCCGTGGCCTGGGGTGTTAATCGGTCTCTCGTATGTTGGCTTTCAGAGCGAAGAAATTTACTGGTGTGTTCCACCGCTTTGTCAGCGTTGAAGTTCATCTGGATTGAAACTTACGCTGTAAGAACAGAGACAGAAGACGGTAGAGTGTATTACGTAAATATCTGCATACGTTTTGTTTTCGGGGTTTTTCCTAATGTCATTCCGACTCAGCATTTTAAAGTTTAGGTTCAGTGTTCAGATTTATAGTTTCACTGCTTCGTACACTTATTGAGTTAGCTGTACTGAATCTTGTTAGATACTTTGATTTTTTAATGATACGGTACCATACAACTTATTGGATAAGAGTCTTTCAGAATGATTTGAGGTTTTCACGGCGGTGAGCATGACGTTTTCTGTCTTCTGGGTTGTTGCGCTGTGTGGTATGGTAGACGTTTACCAACGTTTCAGGGGTCATACTCCTCCGTCATCAGGGCTATGAATTTATCTACCGAATATTCTTTTCAGACACCATAAATCTACGTTAAATATTAGGTTGTGGCGGTGGTGAAAATCAGGAAAATTCAAGAAAGGCTTTTATAAAGACTACGAGCGAAAGTGCGCGTCTTGTCGCTCTGAAAATCTTTATTTCGTTTCTTCAGCGTGTGTTTTCAACTGTTTTTAAGAGATATTTACCAAAATTAAATTATTGTGTACGCCAGTAGCTATTCCCGTACCAAATATTATCGGATTTCGTTACGTGGTTTAGATAATGAAAAGTGCTGATTGTCTGCCAGAACTATCGCCTTGTGCAATAGCGTTGTATACACTTTGCCAATATCATACAAAAATTGTTCCCGAGAGTTTTGTTTTCCAATATGTACAGTGTGTCGAAAAATTGGCGGGCATTTTATAATAAATAAACGCTAACAACCAACTTGTTTGTCTTGTTATGTTTGATATTACTAAAGCTTACAACTACTGTTGTAATTAGTGTTGCGTTTTAAATGGAACATTCTGTACACTGCGTACAGTTTGCAGATACATGTGGGGAGATAATGGAATATACATCGGTCAGTTTATGGAAACTGTATTTTCCCAGTTTTTGCATTTTATTGACAATTTTCATTGATTTATCGGACTGACTGTATAGGTTATCTCTAGCATTATTTCACCTTTTAATTGGCAGTTATTACATATAACACATTGCAGATCATGTAGTGTTTTGTAAGAGCTATGTCCAATAAAGTTTAGTTATCAGGGTTCCCGACGGTGTTTTTATAAACTCTTGCGCAACAGATCGAAGGGAAAAATTCTCCTCAGTAGACAATTTCGCTGAATTCACTAAAGCAGGCGCAGAATTCGCGGGCCATCATCAGTTTTCTTTCTACACCGTAGGCATAAGCCAGTAAAAGCTCCGCAGAAATTACCAGTATTATTATCAGAGTCGTGGACAGTTGCAATCTTCTGGTTGTGATTTCCCTACTTGCCTCTGCTTGGTTTTAATGGGTACATTCATGTAAGTCACATCCAGCCGGAAAGTAACCTCAAATGTACTTTCAGGCTTACAGAACCTTACTACGCCGAGTTCTGAAAAGTGACTGGATTTAGATTTTTATTCGAACGGTTGGGGCTATAGAGACGAAGTGGAGTCATTTTATCACCTTCGACGTCGAAGACTTGAAAAAAAATGCACTGTGGTAGCGAGCCGTCCGACATGCCGTTTTTTATGACTGCACATTTGTTATTCGCTTCGTGTCTGTCCGTAATATTTTTTTCTCCGGTAAAGCACAGAAAGGAGGAAAGGTAAGAATGAGTAGTGGGGAAGCCACCCAACCGTGTCCAGCAGCCGACCGCGATATGCGGCCACGTCTTGTCAGGTGTTTCGTCGGTACTGCGTTGCTGGAGATTCGTAACTTTGCATATCTCCCGGGCGCAGACAGTATTTACTGGGGCTCCCTTAAACATCAGTCCAAAATAATTTCTTGCATTGCGTAATCTGTTATTTCTTTTCTGCTTTTATGCCCCTGATGATGGCGGCGGTAAGCATTTCCGAAACGCATCTCAGTTTCTGCCAGACTACACGGCGCTGTATCCAGAAGGATATAATTATCTCCGCCGTGTTAATTTTGTCATATTAGAGAGCATTTTTCTGAACAGATATAAATCTATTCATCAAATTTGATACACTTTCATTTGTGGGTTCTTTGTATCTACTGATTTTCTATCATAACATTGTACGTGTGGACAGATTTTTTATTGAAAATTGATGTCTTCTGGATTGTTGCGCCGTGTAGTCTGGTAGATGTTTCAGAGGTCATACTGCCTTCGTCATCATCGCCCTGATGACGGAGACAGTATGACCTCTGAAACGTTGGTAAACATCGACCAGACTACACAGCGCAACAACCCAGAAGACAGAAATCTTCAGACTTACCGCTGTGAAAACCTCAAATCCTACAGATTTTTTATTGTTTATACAAAAGTGATTGAGAAAAAATAGTATTTTGAAAAAAAGATAAACAATTTGTTTACAAGTAGGAAAGAAAGTCAAAAGATGCAGAAAATCAATAACTAGATGTGTACCAAATTTTATGACTGTCGGGTTTGTAATTGTTTAAAAAGTACCTAACGCTGGTCGGATAAGGGTTTACTGCTTTCTCTTAATTCTCCTGACAGACTTTGTTTTCGATTGTCGCAGTAAGACAGGCTTATGATCGGTTTATCTTATGCGACGATTAGGCATCTGGGTGGCACAGAGCTAATGTTGTGAGTCCAGTCCCTTCGATCCATTGGTCCGTCTTGGTGACAGGCGACGAGACTCTTAAAGAAAAGGGGGGGGGGAAGAAGCAGATCGAAAATTATAAAAAGGAGGGTAGAAGGAATAGAGAGATAAAAGAGATGTCTGATTGCTCTGATTGGATTTTCAAGTGAAGATCACAGAGGAAAGGCCTTTTATTGAAAGTTGATGTTTAGGTTTCGTTGTTTCTTCATATAGAAAAGTTGTTTTTGTACATAAACATATCATGCTGTCTTTTATTAAGGGCCGAGTGTGGGGAGACAGAAACACTGTCTGGCGATAGCGTCAGGAGTCTGATGAAAGATGCCATCTACTGAAAGGAGGTATGAAAAGAAACAGGAAGACATCTGGAAATTACGACGTCAGCGGAAGAAAATATTTGAAATACAACTGTAACACTGCATTTTTAAAGTCGGTTTCTAAGAAAAGGGAAGGAACGTTTTGTTTGTTATTTTGAATTATGTTCATTTATTTTACGAATTCGAGGACTTGCCAGACATGTAAGATGTCATTTACAGAGTCTTTGTCGTGTCAAAGACTCACAGTGTTGTGGTAACTTATAAATAAGAAAGATTAGAAGGGAAGTGGTCGTGGGATTTTGGAGTATGGCTGGACGGACTGAGGGAACTCACGAAACATTATAGTTTAGTTATCAAGACAGGTGCCCTACTAATTTTCGAAAATGGTACGCCGTGATACCACTTGATCTGGTATGTTTCATTAAATTATAGCTGTTCTATGCTTTGCTCCTTGCATTGAAGCCATAATCGCTAGGATACATGCATTGTAAAGCTCTGTTCCTGCAAATAGAAACTCAAACGTACCAAAGTTGTCTGCGGGAACGCAGTTTCACTAAATCCCTTAATAACCCTTGTTCAATTACAGTGTTGGTCACAGAACCCGGGAAGGCGTTATTACTGAGCAACCAGCATTGTTTTTTCTTCCATAAGTGAAGTATTTAGTTGTCCTCTCGCAGAAATTGGATAAAATTTAAAGGAATAAGGCTTGTTATTTGTTACATTTCAAGAATTTTTCTTTGAGGTATAAGGTAAATTACCAGTAGATGGTTTAGGTGGCTTTATACATTTATCTTATTTAATTCGATATAAATAAAACCTTAATTTGATGCAGTATAAATAATAGTAGAATGTGAGAATTTATTAATTTGAATTATTTCTCGTAGGCCTTATGCGTAGTTACAAATTGAAGCGCGAAGAATGACCACCAATTTAGATTCACTGTAGATTCCTGAATGACAGCATAAGGTACAGAGATGCCTTAGTAGACCTCCCTTTTGTAAGCGATCCCAGGCCTATTATTTTGTGACATGAATTGATAGTCTTAAACATTGCAAGTTTCAATTGACCTTTACGTAAAGCATGGACTGAAGCATAATTCTCCCGACAGCTTTCAATGTGGATCCTCGTGTCAGATTTAATTGAAACTTGTTAAATGGTTTGTGAGGTGAAACCTGGGAACGGAGAAACATACGCAGACGCTTTGACGTCATCGTGTATTCACGTTACACACTCCGTGGGAAGATCACGTTTCAACACACACACAGATCTCTGTTGGCTTCTAGTAGACATTAACTTACAAAATTCGATAATATTGAGATTCAAGGACCAGTAGTGAGCTCGTTATTGTACACTACTCTGTTTGCAGCAAGTAACAAAAAACTTCAACCACATACGAGCTTTCTTACGGCATTTAAGGTGAATTTACTGTGTGCGAAAGAACATTTTAAGTTACGTAATCATTTAACAGAGTGTCTAGGGAAATCTGTTCACGTAACGATGTATATAAATATAATAATTGTCTCAGTTTTTCCCCGTTGATTTTAATGAACGCTGTTCTGTTTTCAAGCCACTATCGCAGACGGAAACGGGAACATTTGACGATGGGTGTGTATAGATGTGTGATCTGTCGCAGGGCTGCGTCGCAGCGATAAGCCTGACGTGGGTGACGTCCGTGACGCTGTTCGCTGTGATGGTGCTGCCGCGTGGTGGCTATTACTTCAACCCGACGGGCCTGCTGGCTTGCGATCCGTTCTTCTCGAGACCGAGCCTTCGCATTTTGTCGTCCTGTCTCTTCTACTTTCCCACCACGATGATTCTCATGTACTGCTACGGCTCTGCTTTCCACGTGAACAAACTACGTCTCAAACGGGTCGTCTGCTCCGCCATCGCGACGCCAGATGACGTCAGTGCAGCCAACATGGAGAAGGTAAGGTGGCCGTTTAAGCCTGATATCAACATATTAGCAGACCTTACAAGGGAGTGTGGCTGAGGTCTTCAGCTAGGTACTGCCATCTCACCACGGGAACTCGGATTGAATCCCGATTGATAAAAGTTTGATTCCTGTTATACGAAGTGGCACTAGAGTTAGGTTTTCATACGAGTTGTTTGATTCTCCCTGCTAATTGTTATTCAACCATTGCCCCGTATTAATCTAGCACCGCCTCACGAAGTGTGTGATAGCCCCTGACCAAATAACACGTGGTCACATCCTGGGTATTAAATCTGAGGTTGGTTGCCATAGAAGTGAAGGTATCTTTTAGCATAAACAGGTAAGCAACTTAAATTATTTGCAAGAAACGTAGCGTGACGACGCGAAAATTGTGCTGCTGTTTATTCCTCCAGACTCAACTAGCTCCTTCCTTGCAAAATTAAAATTCACAGGGCCTCGAGAATTTATTAATACCCGCCATCTTCTCTGCTTCTGGATACAAAATTAATCACACAATTCCTCGCTGGCTAAACCTAGGCGGTGTTTCACAAGACGTCGTCATCTGAAAGCAATGTAAAAAGACAGAAAGATATTGTGGAATTTAAATAACTGAGCCTGTCTTTTTGTGTGAAGTAACCAGCAGCACTGGTAAGTTGGCGCTATTGAATCACGTGGCCACTCGAGTCTTATTTAAAACAGTAATTGGGTTTCTGTTTGTTTTGTGATTTCATCAAAGTTCACTGCGTGGTGTTGAGTTATGCAGACAGTTAGGTTATGTCCATAAACACACATTCAATATTTTAATGGTTCTATGAAATGTAACATCGGTTTCTGTCTTGATCTTTTTCTGAAACGTCTATGCTGCGTAACCTATGTGTGGATCCCCGCAGCTGTGAGATAAGTAAAACAATACTTGTAAATATCACCAAGGTCTCAATCTCGCTCGTGAATATGACTGTATTATTACCTTAATACGCTGTTACGAGGTACGGATGATGGGTCATAGGGATGCTAGAAGGCCAGTTATCGCCTACTATACCAGCATTTGCCCTGAGGTCTGAAGAAAATAAGGAAATTGCTAGAATTACTGATTCTTGGTTGGGATTGAAATGGATTGGGTCTCAGTGCCGACTGCTCGACGCAAATGTAAACACCATGGAAGAAAAAGTTCTGAAGTTATATCGAGAATGCAGTGTTGGGGTGGGCGAATGGAAAGAAAACCGAATAGGAAGCGGGTGACACTAAAGTTTAGAGAGACAGTTACTTGCTATTGGTGCAAAAAACAACAAAAGGCTATCTTCAGAATAGAGCGAATGAAAAATTGTTGGTAGTGCCAACTTTAAAATTAACAGAGGAAGTTTATAAACTTTGTCACATTTGGGGTTCTCACGGCGATGAGTATTAAAGTGGCTGCCTTATAAGTTTTCACCCGTGTAGTCTGCTAGAAATTTACCGATGTTTCAGAGATCTTTGCTGCCTCCATCATCAGGGCATCTCCAACCAGACAATACGAAAATGGTGTCCACTCGACAGTGTTTAGTGTAAACTTCAGCATCCACCCTGTTCTTCTTGATTTATTAAAATCCTGGGTTCACTTTTGCGTTTTGTGCAATGAGCGCGTGAATTGTTCTCATTATGTGAGTATTTACTTTAGAGTAATTTCTCTTTAGTTGATTCCAGACGTGGACAGATGCAGTAAAGTATTACCGTATCCTCTGTCATGAAAGGAGAACTCGTTCCAGTATGTGTTAAATTTAATATTTTAAAATTTACTGTACCAAGTCGTGAAATACCATTTGAGTGTTGTAAAACCCACTAAGAAGCATCATCAACAGACATATTAGAATGAACACAGCATTTACATATAATATAATTTGTCTCAAAAGGTTTATTCACATACGGAATGTTAACCTTGTTATCAGTCTCCGTGTTTTGTGTTACGGAACACATGGACGGTTCTAATTTTGGATACCTACAATAGAATAGCTAATTCACAAAGTTGTAATACTGACGTATGCAATAGTTTAGTTTGTTAAAATGTATATATTTTGTTCATTGAATGTGTGAATGCACTTGAGGGTCCATTCTGTAGTTAAATTGATAGTCGCTCAAGTAATAAAATATTCCTCTTTTATGTAATTCGAGAGTCGTTGAAGTAGGCTGGGTAAAACTGCAAAGGACGCATTTAAACAATATTTGCTCCAAATTTGAATTCACTTCTGCAATCTTGTTAGTTCTTAAATTGTAATCACGCGGGTGCTACTTCTCTTGTCTGAGGGTAGCGCTGCATTATTCAGGCCATCAAAGAGCTCTTCCGTGTAGCACAAAGCCAGTCTCCAGGGAGGCACATCAGCTCATACTCTTGTGCTGTGATGTGCTCTGAATGTCCGTAGCTCCAAGACCAGCCATCATTAACTCCCATAAGAACTGCTTTTCGTGTGCTGTACTGAACTAACACAAAGCAGCTGATTGTTCGCCATTTTATTTAATGTGCTGTATGTGAATATGTGGAGAAGGTAACAAACTTAAATTTTGAAACTTGTTACTACTAAATACAGTCTCTGTTGGTAAAGAAAGGATTATTTCATGTAGATGACGTTATATTGTTTTTGGAAATGCAACATAATTTTAGAAAGTACGTGAATTAATAACCAAAATTTCTATTGTCGAAATAAGAGACGAGAATTTTAAGGCAAAGACGTGTTTGATAATATAACAAATAGCTAATTTAAATAACTTAAACTAATCCGACCTAACCGACAACACAGGAACAAACCCACCGCCTAAGGACTTCCTCAGAACCTTTCTAGGACTTCTCCAAAAATTCTCCAGAAATTCTCCAGCACTTCACTATGACTCAAATGTTTACTTAGATCCTCAAAAGGACTTCACCGGCGTTACCTAGCACTTATCCAGAATTTCTTCAGGACTTCTCCAGCACTTCACTATGACTCAAATGTTTACGTAAATAGTCAAAAGGACTTCTCCGGCACTAAAGTAGGACTTATCCTGAATTTCTCCAATAATTCTCCAGCACTTCTCCAGGAATTCTCCAGCACTTCACTATGACTCAGATATTAAGTTTAGTAAGCTAAAATGGCCAAGATATATGAAACATAAATCACCAACGTTTATAAAGACAAAAAATTTAGCCCTGTATGTAGCTCAGTTTGAAAGAATAATTTCCAGTAATAATGTAGTGAGACATGGACATCGGACGACAATCACGGAACAATAGAAGGGGCAGAAATAAGAACTTTAAATATTATTGTCGTGATATATGCAGCGACACGCACACGGATAATATACAATGAAGATTCTTAAGTATGTAGGAGGAGATGGATGAGGCAGAAGGCTTCTAACCGATGTCGAGAAAAAGTAGATAATTGTTTCAGTCCAGTAATTGCATGTTATAATGTAAATAACTGACAAATTATATTCATCAAACACAGACGTAATCTGCTAAGAAACGTGGACCCCAATTTTAACATTGAGTCTATGGAAGAAGAACCATGTTTCATTTGTGACATTCGAGGCAACTCACGGCCGTGAGGATACCGATGTTCTTCTGAGTCTTGACTTCGTGAACACTCGTTGGTAGATTCCAACGTTTCAGAGAAACAGACCGTCTTCAACTCCAGGGCTGAAGCCCCACACGGCAGCAACACCCACATCATCATAATCATCATCGTATTTTATTTGTGTTCGCATAAAGCGGTGCTTTCCAGGAATGAAACACCGCGTAAGTGGGGGGTAAATGCGTGTATTAATCTGGGGCTAGAATTCAGTTGCCTCTGTGTGCGCTGTTTCCCCCGTGGCTCCGCTGCTAGCTGCCATATAAATACTTCACTGTATGCATATTATATCCCACATCACGATGCAGTTATGTACATTGCAACTGAGTCGAGGCTTCGGACTCACGAAGATAATGCAGATTCAGAATACGTAAGAAAGAAAAATGACAGCAATGTGTCAAAACAAGCTTTAATCATGACAACTCAATCCTTTCCATTCTACGAATATTTATTAAAACGTATTAATGCCCGTTTCTCGAGGAACTTTGTGTTTATAATTATATCAGTGACATAATTATTCTGCAGGGGACTAAGGATTCTCATCTTTTTCTCATTACCTCCGGACGAATAGTGCAATATTACCTTCAATTACTTGAAGATCGCTTCCTGTCCAATATTCTCAAGTTAATTTGACAGGATTATAATATTATTTTACTCGACGTTAAACACCGCTGTATTTGATACAGTGTTCTTAAGTAACCTGTAATGAAACCATCCATTTATCTATGGAGACTTACCAATAAGGATATTTGAGGAAGCTCTACAACAGTTACTAGTGACCTGATTTGATGTCGAAGAACAGGGAAGAATTTTAAGATCCACAGAATCGGGGAACACATTCAGAATACGTACAGCATTCAGATCACGAACTACACTATGGACCATGCCCACAAAGACTAAACCCGAAAGTGAAGTCCAGGAAACAAGGAACTGCAAATAGGCAGTCCATGGGAATGCGGGAATAAATACGTAGTACAGACAAAAAGACTCCTTAACACCAAAATCGCCGAACATAAACGCAAAACAAAAATGGAAGAAATATAAAAAGATGTCTGTATTCTGTGTTGTAGCGCCGTGTAGTCTTAGATAGACGCCTACATCCCGCCGATCAGATCCGTTACCTTCCATTCGTCCGCCTACTACCTACCACGTACAAGGCTTCCAGAAACTCCAAACAAAATATTCATCATGAAGAAGGCAACTGTAATATTTGCCGAAACGTTCCTTAATTTTCAACATTCATCGTGGCACATCATCCACAGCTAAAATTTTACAACCGCGAAAACGTAGGACAAGCCTAAGCAGATTTATAACTGAAACAATTTCTGGGCCATGTCGGTGGCCTGGTGGTCAGCGTGCTAGTCTAGTCCTGGGTTCGATTGTGACCGCTGTTAACAATAACGCAAAATAAAAATCAGTGTA